TGTGCCCGTGTGGAGGAACAGAGACAAATGAAGCTATGACGTTCCTGAGGGCCCCAGAGCCGAGGGCCCTGGCTGCTAGGCTGGGGCACTGGACAAAGGAGCACTGAGAACTTCTGAATGCCCATGTGTGACCTCTTTTCAGAAAGAAACTGACAGCCACGAGGACGGTAGACTGGTGACAAGCGGCTAACAAGTGAGGTGCCTGCTCCTACTGCGTATTCTGGTCTGTTTCACCCGGGCCCTCAATTTGCCCAGACCTCCTACCCCCTCTCCTACTAAAACAGCTGTTTCAAATCTTCCTCAGTCTCCTTAGACCTCTGACACCACTCTCTTTCCTGAGCCTGACAGGCCATCACCTGGGGACGCCCTCAACTTCTGCCTGCAAACCTACAATTGCACTGACTTCTGTCCTACCTTCCTCCTAAGGTCTGCTCCTCCCACCACTCCAGTGACGTCTTTCTCTGTGTATTTTCAACCTTTCTCTAACCTTCATTGTTTTTAGCATTTAAACATAATGAAGTTTCCCCTACTCTCAAACAAATAAGGACCTGTCCTCAGTCCTGACTCCTCCCAGGCTGTCCCGCGCGCCCCCATACCTTTCACGGACGGACCTTGTGAGAGCTGATATTCAGTCTTCCCACGTCTCCCATTTGCTTCTTCTGCCTAGACGCTGTACTCCACTGGAATAGCACCTATCAGGGTCACCAGTGACTGTCTTTGTTCCTAAATCCAGTTGTTTGAAACCTGGGCATCATCCACTTTCTTTCTTCTTCCCCGCCCATATCTAGCCAGCCTCCAGGTTTATGAGCACCTTATAAACAGTGCTCATGTCCACCACTAGCTTCTCTCCATCCTGGGAGTCTCCTAATCTAACACTCCATCCACCACATCACCTTAATCTTGCTTGCTGTCTTGCCCCCTCCCATCCAGGATCAGCTTTCAGAAACCCAATCTGACGTGTCTCCCCTGCTTAGAGCTCCTCAATGACCCTCAGGATAAAGTGTAAATTTTTTTTTTTTTAAATATATCTGTATTGATTTCAGAGAGAGGAAGGGAGAGGGAGAGAGAGAGACAGAAACATCAATGATGAGAGAGTCATTGATCGGCTGCAGCCTGCAACCCGCGCATGTGCCGACCGAGAATCGAACCCCGATCGCCTGGATCCTAGGTCGACGCTTTAACCACTTTAGCCGGCCGGGCTAAAGTGTAAATTTCTTTAGCTAGTTCACATAATCTGACCCCCAACCTGTGGGAACAGAAACAGGGGGACACTTACTCTGTGTCAGGCACCAGCTGGGGACTACATTTAGGAAGATCTTGCAAGAGGCCAAGGAAATGGTAATTAGGCCACAGGTGAGTGATGAGAGGTCAGTGGAGATGAAATTAAGAAGGAAGTGGAAGCTGGTTGTGCAAACTACCTTGTGAGGGAAGAGGCGGGGCGGTGACCTGTGGGTACAGCAAGGTTAAGGTTTTGTAAGGGAGGAGATGCCAAACCTTTTTAGGTGGACGGTAAAGTGATCCAAGCAATTCATAAGGGGATGATCGTTGTTGGTAAAGGTTTTGGTGATGGTGACATAGATGGGAGACTGGGCACTGCTGCTAGGAGTATAATTTTCTATACTTCAATTTGGAGATAAAAACAAATATAAAAAAGGAAAAAATTCCATTCCAATTTCAACTCAGTAATTTCACATCTAGGATTTTTTTTTTTTCCTGAAAAAATAAGCATGGACATGCACATTTAACTGCAAGGATATCAACCTGCTATATAGAAAAGAAAAGAAAAATTTTAAACCTAAATGTCACAGAGGATTTTTATCAGTTAATGGTACATCCACTCAGTGAAATGCTGCATAGCCATCAAAAAGATATAACAGAAATGTGCCCAATAGAGATAATACAGTATTTATAATATGAAGTTTTATATGCAACAAAAACTCTGGGAAGAATATTAACGATGGACATCTCTTGGCAGTGTGGTATTACAAATTTTTTTGTTTCTTCTCATTTCCTAAATTTTCCTCTTATGAATAGGAAAATATTTGAATCATGAAAACAGTATAAAATCATGTACATACATAAGTCCATTTATATGAAGTTTAAGAACAGGCAAAACATCTATGGTTAAAGTGAGAATAGTGGCTTTCTGAGGGAATTTCTGGGGTAATGAAGTATTCTGCATCTTGGTTTTGGGGTACACATAGGTAAAACTTAACAAGCTGTAGATTTAAGATCTGGACATTTTACTGTGTGTAAATGATTTGTTTCAAAAGAAAATACACCCACAAGATAAAGAGCAAGCAGGTGACATCACAGAACTTTGTTGAGGTGAAAAAGGAAGTTCTGTGACCAGACCTGTTTTCTTAGGAAGCAGGCCGTTGTGGTAACCAGCTTGGAGTAAAAAGGATGCCAGTAGCTCATACCTGAGAAAGGGGAACACAGCGGAGCAGCGCCCATGCAGCAGAAGCACCCAGGGAGTTCCCTAGAGCTGGATCAAAGGTGTGGGCACCAACCCAGGGCTCATTTCGCTGTGATAGATGCTAGGAGTCTGCAGCTTACCAGCTGAGTTGCCTTTAGGAATTGGGACTGAATACTCGCTTGTAGTGGAGTGGGGTGTGAAGCCAAGACAACTCCGGTAGAGAGAACTGAGATGAGCAAGGAGGGACAGAAAAGCTTTGAAGGCAGAGAAGGGGCAGTGGAGCTGGAACAATCAAGGCTGTGGTCAGCACAGGGTTGGTTCTGAGGTCCTGTGGTTGAAGCAGTTCCAAGTGAAGGCCACGCTCAAAGCATGGCCTGCTGGGAGGGACAGAAGGGAAGGGAGCAAACATTTACTCAGTATCCATCTAGCCACTGCCAGGCACTTCACAGATACCAGCCCATTTAAGGGCACCTGAGCCTTGCAGCGATTTAGTGCCATGGTGTTTACATATGATGGAACTTGCCCTCATCAGGCAGCAAGCAGCAGGGCAGTTTCAAAGCCAGATTTGACTCCAAAGCCTCTTCCCACCATACTCAGCTGCCAGTCACAGCAGGAGCAGTTTAGGGAACCCACACATGGAGATGTGAGTCACCTAGGCTGGGGCTGAGTGTCAGCTGCCAACCTCTGGGGAATGGCCGGTAGCAACCAGATCGGGGTAGTCCCAGCAGATGGCATATGCTTCAGGACGACAGTGCATCAAGGTGGCAGAAGAGAAATGCAGGTCTTGCCACCTGGCACCAAGACTAGTGGGAAAATAAGTGGCACCTGCTCAAGGGTTTTTTAAGTGGTGTCTAGGGGAAAACCATGTTTCAGTTTAAGAGGAGAAACCTGTGAGTTCTAAACACCATTCTGAGTTAGCAAGGGGGGTGGACAGGAGAGGGCAGGGCTGTGGGAGGTGGGCGAGGCCTAGCACTGTTAGCTGAGCTCACAGCTGAGGAAGGGATTCTGGGGACTCAAGGCTCCATCAGGGTAAAAGCACCCAAGGAATTCCATACAACACCAGAGGCATGTTAAGAAGTATCCGGCATAATCTGTCCCTAATCCAAGCTTCAACCCCCTTCCTCTCTCCTCCAGTTAACCACATCTAGGGTAGCCCATCAGCAGTGGCCAAACTACAAACTGATTTGAAACAGCAACAGGTATTATTTACCTAACACCTACTGCGTGCCAGGCCCTCTACAGCAGTTCACTGATCAACAGCAATGCTACAAATCAGCCCTGCTTTAAAGATAACACTGAAGCCTTGAGTTGAGGTCACTTGGCTAAAATCATGGCCACAGGCAGGACTTGGGACCAGGTGTATCTGGAATTAGGGTTTGAGTCTTCCTGGGCTCTGTTAACTGAGCCAAATTTTTATATGTAAGCTTTACAATCAATTGTGAAGTGATCATTCTTAGTGGATTCTAACCTAAGAGGAATAAACTCTTGCAGACTTTTGAGACTGAGTAGAAGACATTCTAGTTTACATTTAAGATGTACATTAATACATGAAGGCCTTGCCCAAGCTGGTTTGGCTCAGTGGTTAGAGCATCCACTTGCAGACTGAAGGGTCACGGGTTCGATTTCAGCCAAGGGCACATATCTTGGTTGCAGGCTTGATCCCCAGCCCCGGTTGGGGCGCGTGCAGAGGCAACCAATCTATGTGTGTGTGTCTCTCCCTCCCACACTCTCTGAAAAAGCAATGGAAAAAATATCCTTGGGTGAGGATTTAATAAAAAATAAAAAGACCACCAGAGCTCTGTACTCTTAAAAAAATGTTTTTTTTTAAATGAAGGCCTCACATCTTTGGATAAGCAACAGGGAAGACCCTGAAGGTGACTCATAGGAATGCCTTCTTCCATTGTCCTGTGCAAAGAATCTGGGATTCAGAGGAATGAGTTCTTTGCACAGGATAATGGGGAAGAGGAAAGGCAATAAGAGAAAAGGCAAAGAACTGGGGCTTAAATTTCCTCTCAGAAATGAAAATACATGCAAAAATGCCTTAGGAGGGGAGTTCCATTAGTCCAGAATTTTAGATCAAGAGTGACTCTTCTCTAGTCACTCCTTTGTAAGGACACATGTTCTGGCAGAAATGACACTCCCTAATAAACTGACAGTTATTACTGCAAGAAAATAGTCCTTCAAAATACATTCCCATGGAGAAAGGAACACCTCTGTGACAGGTGCTTCGTGTACACTTCTTTGATTTAATCTACAAACCTATGCTGAGGAAGATGGAGTTATCTTCATGGAAATTAAAGCTCAGGGAAGCTAAAGAACTTGTCTGAGGTCACAAAGCTGACAAATGACAGAGCCCACACTTGAACCCAGATCTGTCTGCTCTTCCTACACCACACTACATAGTTGCTGTTCCTCGCAATGTACTCTAGGTCTACTCTAAGTCCCTGCTTCTCTGATTGTCCCTTGCTTCTTGGCAATGCAATGCCCTGTTCCCTCTCAAAGATTTTCCAACCATTCCTTCATATATAGGAAAATACCTACCACCTCTCTCCTAGACAGAAAGACCCACAACTTAGGAAAATTTTTGTTATAAAACATTTAATGTTAACCTACAATACAATGTAAACTTTTATGAAAAAAATTTAAAGTACACTAGATTTCTTCAGTAAATTACACGTAACTATTCAGGTGCAGTCCAAGTTGGGGCACTGCATCCTTTGTGGATGGATTTCCTGTTGCTGCGTTCCTCACAAGTCCTTAAAAAAACCAGTTGTGAAGTGGAGCTTCTTGTTCAAGCACCAGAAATACTCCCTTGATTTTGCATTCTGGGGGTTATCACTCCTTCCCATTGTCATTTTCTGAAATTCTTTCCTTGGCCTTGGCACCATTAGCAATTTTCATAACTGCTCAGTTGAAGATTTCCTAGGTTCTTTTTAGCCTTTTTTTTTTTTTTAAGAGATAAATATTCTCCCCTGGCCAGCTCTTATCCCAACAACATAGTGGAGGCAAGCAAATAGAAACCACACAATAGAAGGGCTCCCAATCGAGACTGCAGAAATTCAATTTCAGCTGGGTGTCTTCTCTTGGTCATTTCCCATGGTCATGCAGCTGAACCTATAACTTCAGTCTTGGGAGTGCAGAAGGAAACTTGAAACAAGTGTTTTCGCTTAGTTGATGACTTGCCATTTGGAAACAACAGCTGTCATTACACAGAGGTGATTTGAAAACAAGAGCAAATGCTTACAGATCACTGACTTCTCAGTATTTGCTCCCTTGCAGGTCCCGTCACGTTCCCAGAGGTCCTTGGAAGTAAGACAGATTGTCCTGGCGCTGACAAAATGTGCATCTTTCAGGGAGGAAAGGAGACGGCACCTAGGCAGCAGCTCAGCAAGGAGACAAGAATGGGGTCTGGGCTATTTCAACATGGACTAGGAAAGGAGCCTGTGCTTCAGAAGCCTCTGGAAACCTAAAGGCATAGGCTGTCCCAAAAGTTGTACCAAGAACTGTACCGACAAAAACAGAAACGTTTTAATCTTCTGGAATCTGACCTCCTTCACTGAACGTTATCAAAAGGCAAGAGGCATAAAGTGCACATTGTAGAATAAGATGCAGTTTGAATTATTAAGGAAAAAAATTTACAACTTCCCAAAGAGGTATGGACAAAATAGTATACCCAGCCTCACCGAGGTCCGAGCGCCCCGCGTGCTGCCAGGGAAACAGCTGTGAGAACATCAGGGAGGGAGGCTCTTAGTGAAGTGGAAAAGTTCCCCTTTGCATAGTTGTCAGCAGGAACAGACTTCACACAGGTTGAGAGGAGAACAGTTTATCCTGGTATTCACTTCAGGTACATTTTGACAATGGACAGCAATTTCCTGCTCATATGGCCTTGGGACAGCAGGAAACAAAGTGGAATACTAGGCAGCCAGGAGCAGAACTAAATTTTCTGGAGGTGGTGTTCTAGACACCCGTGCCAAGGCCACTGGAAAATTAGGTGACGTCCATGAGGCTCCTCACCCTGACCCTGGGTGTGTACCCCAACCACTGAGGCTACAGAGAATAGTAGCCAAGTTACTGCTACCTAAGAGCAGTCCCCAGGTTTTAGTTAAGCAACAGAGAAAGACTTTGGAGACTACAAACCCAGCAAGTTATGCTTTATCTTGACGTGAACCCCTTGGTCTCATAGCATGCTAGGAACTACAGTAACTTCAGTAGGTTGCAGTGTTACGAGTGCACCAGTCTAGCCATAGAACACTTTGGAATATCTGTCAGCTCACACTGGCATCTGTTAACACATGTCCTGACCCATGTACCCATTACATAAGCTCAACCACAGACGAGACATCCAGAGGTTAACAAACCCTATTACTTCAGCACAGCAATAGAGGAAGAGGGTAAGAACTGCCTCCAGCCGGTGGCCACATCAGAAACTGAAATCTGCCTTCTAAGAGTTTACTCAGCCTGAGAGCTGTCTGGCTCCCCTTGAGGCCTCTATTCTTTCTACCCTTAACCCACCAGCACCACCACCGCACCTCCACTGTAACAGGCAGGGCTCTCACATGGTTCTGCTGGCTCCACCACAGGCCCTGCCAGTCCTTTGGAAAGGCACCAAGCTTGGCAATTCAGGAAAGCTCAGGGCTGGGTAGGAACAGCATGCACATGTCAGAAGAGGAATGAAGAGCTGCTATCCTTTGGTTCAGACTCCGCAAAAACCACCCGGTACAGACTCCAAGGAAAAGCTGCAGTCGTATGTACAGGCGAGTATACACGGAGGTGTCACGCTGCACACGTGGTGTATTTGTACATCACAGGGGCTACAAACCCAGATTTCCTCCCACTGCTCCAAGTGGGGTGCATAGGTGACAAGAAAGGACAGCAAGAGTTGGACCGAAAAGGACGACCTCTCTGGGAACTTGAGGGGCAATGGCAGAAATAAGCACAAACCAGCCTGGGGCACCTTTATTATACTCTTGTGGGCTAAGGAGCCCAGGGCATGAAATCATGTCATGGGTTTAAGAATTGGCTCTTTACAAAAAAAAAAAAAAAATACACCTATGTCAGCCTCATTCCTTTGGTCATTACAAAGCAACAGAAAAAATTTAAGTTATTCATAAATTGTGGGAAGTTAAAGGAACATCTCTGCTCTGTGCCTTCTCTTCCCTCTCTTCTCCAGAGGCAGGAGAAACAAGTCCTTAGGAGATGCTGCAGTAGCTGGTTGATGGAGGTTTGTCACTTTTATTTTCCATAAAAGCAAGAATGAATGAGAACTAGTGGGAATGTCCCCTTCCCCGCTGGGTCAATGGCTGGGCTGGAGGTGAAGAGCCTCCTTCTGCTGGAGGGCGTGTGGTGCAAAGGCAGCAGGGGAAGGCGGGCTGCCGGCTGGAACGTTCATCACTAACCTCGCGCGCACACAGGTGGTGACTCTTGCAGGCAGCATGGTTTCTGATCCTTCCTTAGGATGCAGCAGTCTTTAAAAAAAATATTGTATTATAATAATAATAATGTGAATTTTTCTCTCTCTTGTTTTTTGTTGTGTTGTGGGGTTTTTTTGGTTTTTGTTTTTTTTCCATTTCTTTTAGGAATTGGGTAGGGAGGGGAGAGGAAGAAAAAGTGTCATTCATCTGTTAGGTCCTGAACAAAGAGAACTTCTGTGTGGCTGAGTCCGGCCTCCTGCAGCGTCGGGGGGTTGGGCCACTCCTCTGAAGGGACGCAGGGCAGCACCCGCCGGGGAAAGTTGGCTTCGATCTGAAACTTTTCAGGGCTTTCTTTCAAGGAGAATAAGAAGTCGTGGATTACCTGAAGAGATCATGGAGAAAATGAAGGGCGGTTAGAAAAAGGCAGAGGCACACGCACCACCATGAAATCAGATATCCCTCAGCTCTCCCCACAATGACTGAGACATGAAGTAATCACATTACGTTAGAATTCTACTCAAGGTTTTGCCATCTCACAGAGCAAATTTGTAGGGCAGCTCTTTTAAGAGATTTCTTACACAGCCCAATGCTAGTTCTACTCTGAATTGATTCACCTGTTTCATCTTTGACAACTTGTCAGATATAAAGCTAAAAATTTTTTTACTCAGTAATAATGACAGCGCTGGCCGGGTGGCTCAGTCAGTTGGCACATCGTCCTGTACACCAGAAGGTTACGGGTTCAATTCCCGGTCAGAGCACATACCTAGGTTGCAGGTTCAATCCCTGGCCAGGGCACATATGGGAGGGAGGCAACCAATCGATGTTTCTCTCTCTTTCCTTCTCTCTCCCTGTTCCTCTCTCTCTCTAAAATCAATAAAAACATATCCTCTAGTGAGGATTAAAAAGAAAAAGAAATAATCAGCTAAAGAAAAGCTGGAAGTATAGGAAACAGGTTTTTCTTCTTTGAACAGCTGAGAGGAAGCTGCCAGCCTATACCCCATCACCCTAGAATACTTGTGTATGTCTTACAGGACACTCTCCTACATAACTACAAATACACCATGACATTCACTTAGATAACCTGCCAGGTTCTCCACTGAAGTTCTTTTCCCCTTTATAATTTGTATTTTGTGGGGCAGTACTTGGAAACTATGGAGACATTCTGTTCCTCAACATTTTTATTTACTTATTACTGTAGAGTCATGGCTTCCTATTTTATTCAGTAGGTTATAATATTATAATCATTATTTATGTTAATGTTCAAGTTGTTCCAGATGGAGCCAGGAGGAGCCCATTTAAGTTGGCTTCTGTGTCTTGCTGACATGTCACCACTGTCTCTGAATAAGTGGAGCACAAGGTGTTCCAGGCTCATCTTGTATTTTCCCTGTCCCAGCTAGAATCAGCCATTTCTCTAAGGATCCCTGGTTTTTCTTAATGATAAATGGTACAAAAAGCCACATTCTAGGTGCAAGGTATGTTCATTGCTATTAGGGGGTTGCTGCTCCCAAGCACTCTCTGTGGAAAAAGCTGGAGAATATATGTACATATTACACATCTACATCTATCTATATGCTAGACTGCTATACACATATATCGAAAACCATGCGTTCATCCCCTCTCCTTACCTGGTTCTGGCTTTAACACCCCAACCCACCCTGGGCCACTTGGACTCTGACTTCTCTGCACCAGGCTGCCCTCACATGTGGGCAACCTTCTTAATTTGAGCAAGGCCCTCCACGTAGACCTTTTTTCTGTGGGAATGCCCTTCTCACCCTGCTCTGGCTCTGACAGGCAAACTGATAACCAGAAATAAGGCAACATCAGGAAAACTCACACTGCGAAAACTTAAAATGTGCGATTTCTATCTCTATGTTTTTGTTTCTTAATGCCACACACTAAGAACAGGCACACTGGATCTACTCTATGGCCCTCTTCATCTAGCATTCTATGTCTAACAAAAACCCTAAGGGACATGCTATGATGGCATTGCTACCCTCTTTCAGGTCAATCCCAAAGGTCAGGAGCACACCATTCAAATTATCCTTACTTTTTGAGGGAATTGATTTCTATATTTTGTTCTACCTAAGTTTATTCCCCTCTGTGTGAAATCTTTCTTCATTTGTCTTAAATTTACCTCCTTAGAGCACTTAAAGGGCCATAATTCCAGAATTTAAGGAGTGAATCCATGGTCCTCTTATCTAACTCATTCATAATTTTAACTTTTTTTTTTAAATCATCACTTGATATTTTTTCCACTGCTTTTCAGAGAGAGTGGAAGGGAGGGAGGGAGAGACAAACATCAATATGAGAGAGACACATCAATTGGTTGCCTCCCATATGTGCCCCAACTGGGGCCAGGGATCGAGCCTGCAACCAAGGTACATGCCCTTGACCAGAATCCAACCCGATTTCCTTCAGTCTATGGGCCAATGCTCTAACCACTGAGAAAAACCAGCCAGAGCTAACTCCTTATATTTTAGTCTAGCAACATCAATCATTTTCGGTTCCCTTCTCTGACTCTGCAACTTCCATGAACATTCACTCACCTATCTTTTCTGAAATGCATCAATTAGACTTGCACCAAGTATTCTTGGTATGAATCCAACATGGGTTTTATGTAAGGGTGAAATAATATTTTGTTTTCTTTTCAATCATTGCTTGACAGTACAGCAGTCGCGTTATCCGCAGGGGACACATTCCAAGACCCCCAGTGGATGCCTGAAACTGTGGGTGGTACTAAACCCCTATTCATGCTATACATGCTGTTTTTCCTATACATACACACCTATGATAAAGTTTAACTTATACATTAAGCACAGTAAGAGATTAACAATAAAATAGAATTATAACAATATACTGTAATAAAAGTTATATGAATGTGGTCTTTTTCTAACAACCAAGAATGGGGCAGGGAGCGTACACAGCATGCTATGCTGGACAAAAGGATGATTCACGTCCTCAGTAGGGCAGAGCAAAATTTTATCATGCTGATACTCAGAATGGTGTGTAACTTAAAACTTATGAATTTTTTACTTCTGGAATTTTCTATTTAATATTTGCAGACCGCAACTGATCATGGGTAACTAAAACCACAGGTAAGGGGGGACCACTGTTCTCAACCTTAGTACGAAACTGGCATTTTTTGTTACCACTGACAATGGGCAACAGGAAACAGATGACATCACCTCAAAAGGTACCTTTTGGTTTGTATTAATAACAAAATGAGTTCTGGGCTGAATATAATTTGGATTCTCTCATATATGCATCATTTAAGAGAAAGTCAGCTGCCACTTTTCTGCCCATTCATGGGGCCTAGAGATTATTCTACAGTTTATCCTCTGTTATTTTAACATTTTACCACTATCAAGAGCTGGGCATTATGTGCAAATGGACTATTTTACTGAACATTCACTCCTGCTTGAGATTGTTTATGAAGGTCAGAGCTCACAGGAAGACGACACAAAGGCGGAGGAACATTAAAAAACAATCAATTATTCTACTATAGATTATTAACTCAATGACTGTTCAATTTAAGGCCAGCACTGCCACTACACTTCTTTACCACTTCTTTCCCATCCCTGAGCCTTGTCCCCACTTATGACCAAGTATTTCTCAGTCTGGAGTTTGTTTTTTAAATAACTTTTACTGAAAACCTATCTAAAAGCCTTTAAGGAATAAAGAATTAATAAATGGGTTGCTTTCCCTTTGACCACAAGCCTATTCTATTCCACAATTATAACAGATTTTCCTGTAAAACTCTCCAGAGAGTAAACTTTGGTTAGGTTTTTACATACCTAACAAGAGTTTGGGGAGTAGGAGCTCCGGGAAACTACAGTGAAACTGTTACAGTGAACATAGCTGCAAGCTAAAAGCCATATGCAAACCAATGGTTAGGAAATACAGAAAGGAAAGGATATGACTTAGTAACCACCTACCGACGTGGTAGGTGCTGTGTGAAGCTCACTTATTTTATCCCAATTTTAAAAATCCAAAGTTAGAGATGTGAGCACCTTCCCCATATATATAAATGAGAGATAAATAAAATGAGGAAGCTATTTGCTTCTCACTCACCAGGATGGCTCATAACTTTTTACTCTATATTAGCTCTTTAAGTCTTACATTCCCTACTGGCCAATAAGCTCCATGAATTCCAGAACCACATCTCACTCATCAATATAACCCCTAGAGTGCCAAGCACAGTGCCTGATATATCTTCAGTTTAAAGTTATCAAAGGGCAGATTATTATTTCCATTTTACAGATGGGCCATCTGAGGCCCTCTTCTCTCTCTACTCCCCTTCCTCCTGGTTCATCAGAGTAGCAGATACACCAAAAACACTCTAGCAATTCCTTAAAAGCCTCTAAGTCTACAGGCCAGACTCTACATTCACATAAACACAACTTAAGCAGTCCTTACTGTTAAAGACTGTGAAAAGTGGAATCGTCTTTCTACTCGAGAATCATTGGGTAATTTGAAAATGATCTTGACACTTTCAGGGTCATCAGGGGAAGGCTCAGGGGGCAGGCACTCCAACTTCCTTTCCTTTTCCTCCTGTAAATTCTGTAGAAACACAAAGCAAAGGTGAAGCTATGGCTCCAACAGGGAAACAAGAAATACAATCACCATGTAGATCCACTGTGCATTCAAAGAAAAATTAGTAACTAATATCATGAGAAAAACCTGTTGGCAAGAGTCAGAAATAACTGAATTTGAAGTACTATTGCACCACATATACTATTTATTGACTGTATTCAGGTGTTTAACTGTTCGAAATAAAGGGAATGACTAGAAGACACTGGCTATAAGCAAGTGGTAATACATAATGAAACGAGACTGTGAATGAAATGCCAAATGAGCCAACATTGCTACTAAGAACGCTTAAAAATTACTGTGAATAAATAGCACTGTAAACTGTTTACTACCTATATTTACTTTTCATGGAACAGTGCTGTTTTGCCTTTTACTCTCTGTTGTTGTTTTTTTAAATATGTTTTTATTGATTTCAGAGAGAGGAAGGGAGAGGGAGAGAGCCAGAAACATCAATGATGAGAATTATTGATTGGCTGCCTCTTGCACGCCCCCTACTGAGGATCAAGCCCGAAACCCGGGCATGTGCTCTGAGTGGTAATCGAACTACGACCTCCTGGTTCACAGGTTAGACGTTCAACCACTGAGTGGCAACTGGCAGGGCCCACTGTTGTAATTAAAATTTTATAAATTCTAAAATACTTGTGAAAATGTAGTAAATATAAAAATGGCAAGGAGAATTTAAATCATCTACAGTCCCATAATCTTCTAGTATTTTTCCTTTCACACTCAAGATAAGACCAGTTTGCCCTGGCTGGTGTGGCTCAGTTGGTTGAAGCATCCTCCCATATCCAAAAGGTTCAATTCCCAGTCAGGGCACACACCTGAGCAGTGGGTTCAATCCCTGGTCACGGCGCATGTGGGAGGCTACCAATTGATGTTTCTCTCTCTAAAATCAATAAAAATAATAAAAATGAAAACACCCGTTGGGGAGTCGTCAGCAGTAGAGACAGGTTCATTACCTGTCGCCGCCTCTCCTCTGCCAGCTTTTGCTGTTTTACTTCCTCCTCCTTCCGCCGTTTGCGCTCACGCTCCTCACGTTTCTTTCTTTCTTTCTCCTGATCAGCCCTGAGAGAGGCCAAATAGGCCTCATCCTGCTGTTGCCTCAGCACCTGGGTCTGGTTTCGTTCTTCCCTGCAGACAGATCAAAAGCACAGAAGGAAAAGAGCAATCTCACCAAGCTCTGGGTTTTCCTATACTGAAATTTTGGGGGATAAAGAGGTTGACAATCTTGGCAGAGGGCTATTTCATACTACTATAAAGGATTCCAAAGCAGAGTATGGCAGAATCTGAACAGCGACCTCTTTTCCCAGTTTAATTTGGCAGAAAAAGAAATGGCAAGCTTTCTCCTCACCTTCTAATTTTATTGTTAAAAATTAAACTTTTTTCCAAATTCTAACAAAAGTAACACAGTATGCCCAGCTAATGTGGCTCAGTGGTTGAGCGTCAACTCATGAACCAGGAGGTCATAGTTCGATCCCCAGGGGGAGAGGGGGATGCAAGAGGCAGGTGATCAATAACTCTCTCTCATCATTCTATCTCTCCCTCTCCGTTCCTCTCTCTGAAATCAATAAAAACATATTAATATAAAATAAAATAAAAAGTAACACACAGTATGATTGTCATAAAATGATCATTAGAGCATATTTTATAGGCAATAACCCTTTGGGCTACTATATTTTTGTATATGTTGCTTTCATAAAACCAAAATCCACATACATACATCTTAGAAGATTTGAAAAATGTAGAAAGATCTCATTCAGAGTTCTACTAAACAAAGAGAAAACACAGTAACATTCTTTTGGTGTGTTTCCTATTTTCTCTCCAAAAAATTGTTTGTACATAGGAGTGTGTGTGTGTGTCTATATAATCGAAAGAAAATATACCAGAATGGTAAAAGCGGTGGTAGGATTATGGATAGTTATAAATTTCTTCTTTGCGCTTTTCTGTGTTTTCCAAAATTTCTACAACTAATGTACATTACTTATGTAATGAGAAAAGAGTTACAACCATTTCTCATTTTTTACATTTAAGCTCTTTATATGAAGGCTCTGCTATTCTAAATGACACAATATATATTCTTGAGCACAAAGCCCTGCCTTGTACTTTGATTCACATCTCTAAGAACAGATGATCTGATGGAGAGTTATGTCAAAGTACATAAATATTTTAACACTAAACAGACAAAGCTTTTAAAGTTGCCTGAGAGAGAGAAGTCATGATTTGTGGAGCCCAAGGTCAGCTGGTTTCTCTCTCAGTTCCAGAGAGGAACTCTCTTGTACCTTTCTAGGCGTTCTGACACCAGGTAAGTCTGGTTTGCATCCATGATAAATGTCAGCTGATTAATGAGGTCATCAGGTTGAATGAGGCCTTCTAACCGTCCCACCACAGTCATCCTCCGATCCTTCAGCATAATCATGGCCAGGAATGGATAGGTGTTCTCTCGTAAAGCCTGTGAAACTGACAGAAAAAAGACCCAAGAGATCAAGGGCAGGACTTTGGGATAAAACAGATAAACTCTTAGACTTTCCACAACCAGCGAGAGAGAACTACTTTAATCCCAGCTGGGAACAAAGGGAGGCATCATTTATTCTCTGCCTCTTTTCCTTCTTAGTTTCTTAATCGTTTTTTTGGTGGTAGTTGTTCCTATATATTTGTGTCCCTGTTCCCAGGTAATTATATTAGCATAGGAGAGGCTTTTCTGGTGGGGGTGTGGTTGTCATGATAATGCCAGGGAAGGTTGTGGAGTTCAAGGACAATGTCTATTTGATGGGCAACAAAGGACTTATAAAACTCTGGCTACTGCTTAGCATAATTTTTCCCTGTGACAGAGGTCAAGCCTAAAGGGAACAAGGCTGCAAGTCTTGGCCTTAAACTGCTGGTGGTGATCTCCACATCTTTTGTCTTCTCTTGCTCTTATCCAATCCCTTCCTTTCACCATGTCTTTTCACTCTGTAAAAAAGAGCTAGCTTTTCTGTTTCAAAGGAGTTTAGAAAGCTGGTCTTCTAAATGACCAAGATTTTTACCACAAGTTGTACCTACAATTTCCTTACAGTTTGAAAGAAGTGATTTTATAAGTTTCTATAAAAATATCCTTAGTCTCCATCTATCCACCATCCACCACCCCAAAGCTGTATTAGAATGGCAAATGCATGCTGAAGGAACTTAGAGATGTTTAAAACCAGTTAGGAGTAAAAACTCAGATTCCAGGAGGGAGGCAAAACATGTGTTATATCTTTGGCTCTCAGGATCTAGCACAGTGGCCGGTATGCTGGTATTCACTCAAAAGTTGCTGAAAAGAGTAGCTGCAAAGTAACTATATTTTTCTTCACTGGAAGCCTTTGTATCTCATAGTGACTTCTAAACACACTTTAAGAGTTATTATAAGCAAAGAGCTGAACTTTCTGTATCCCTATCAGCACTCAAGGTACTCAAATAACTAATTCACTGTATAAGCAGCTGTATTAAAATTACTATTGATGAGAATAAGCTCTTCAGTAAGAAGCCCATTAAGATTAAAGGCAAGCCCTGACCGATGTGGCTCAGCTGACTGGAGCGTCATCCTGTAGAGCAGAAGTGGTGGGTTCGATTCCTAGTCAGGGCAAAGACCAGGCTGCGGGTTCAGTCCCTGGTTGGGGCATGTTGCAGAAGGCAACCGATCAATGTTTCCTTCTCACATCAATGTTTCTCTCTCTCCCCCTGCCTCTCTCTCTAAAATCAATTAAAAATATATATATATCCTCAGGTGAGGATTATTTAAAAAAAAAAAAAAAAAGATCAAAGGCAAGCTGCTGGCCAGGACTGGGCATTTTTAAGAATAAAACAGGCGCCGGGCTGGACATGGCTCAGCAGTTGAGCATCGACCTAGGATCCAGGCGATCGGGGTTTGATTCCCAGTCAGGGCACATGCCTGGGTTACGGGCTGCAGTCAATCAATGATTCTCATCATTGATGTTTCTATATCTCTTTCTCCATCTCCTTTCCCCTCTCTGAAATTAATAAAGATAATAAAAAAAAAAAAAGAATAAAACAGGCTCTGGCAATGGTTAACTATAAAGAATGGGCTAGACTGGGGGTCTGGGTGAACAAAGGTGAAGGGATCAAGTAATAAAACAGTCACAGGCATGTGAAGTATAACATAGGGAATATGGTCAATTAATTATATTATAATAACTATGTAGGGTGCTAGGTGGTATTAGATTTATTGGGGGATCACTCCATAAGTTATATAAATGTCTAACCATTATGCTATACACCTAAAACTAATATAATATTAAATGTCACCTGTAAATGAAAAGACAATTTTAATTAAAAAAAAAAGAATGGACTAGAGTCTGAAAGACCTGAGCTTGCTCCAAAACTTGCTGTGTGATTTTGGACCAGGCTTAAACTCTCTAAGCCTGTTTCCTACACCATGAAGTGGAGGAAATACAACCCAATCTCTCAGGACTGCAGAGAAGGTTAAATGAGATAAGGTATAAACAACAACTAACATTGTGTCTACCATAGAATCATCATGCAACAAATGCAAGTCTTTCCAGATTATTCCAAAGACATCCCAACAATTACAATGAGGCAAAAGAAACACAACTTACCTCTGTATCCCTCAGGCTTGTTTGTGGAGCATGCCCAGAAGAGCATCCTAGTGTTTATTAGTGAAATCACTTCAGGGGCACAGAGAGTGTTGCTGTGGAAAGGGATAAAAGGACAGGAAGACCTTGCTTACTATAAACTCTCAGCAGAGAAGGACAGAAACAAGAGAGAAAATGAGCAATCCACTTACCGACAGAATTCATCAGAGTCCTGGTGATCATCTCCATGAAGATAAACCAAAAGAAAGCGAAGCTCCCGCTTGGCATCATTAAGTGCCTGTGGGAAACAGAAGATCACTAATTATGATGATAATGATGACTGTGATTTGAGCTTTTAATTAGGCTAAGGGTCCTAATGGATACATTTAGGAACAAAAGGAGAAAAGGAGAAATGAGGGGGAAAAGTAAGCAAAAAAAATCAAGAGTCCTGGTACTACCTTCAAACCCATGGAATTTATCTCCCTATACAAAGTCCATGCTAACAAGCCTTAATGAAAACATTTTAGTGTTGTTAGAATTTAAATTGTATCAGGCACCTGAGAGTAGACAGGCTGAAAAATAAAGGTCCCCAACAAATCACAGAAGTCAGCTGCTGCCAGTCTAAAGGAAGATAAACACAGAAATGTCTGACCACGTGAAAAGGGAGGTGGGAATTTTGCCACTTTATAGCTCCGACTTCCTTGTAAATAAAAAAACACTGTGAAGGTGATCTCAGGCCATATATCAAGCAGGACTGAGGGACAGTGGGACCCAAAGGTATTCTAAAGAGCATGGGATTTAAAGATCTTCAAAGACAAGGCTAGTGTACAAGATTACAGTGTGTGCTTCTGCATTTGCATAATCCTGAGCCCATTACAATTCAATCAAGATTTCCCGAATGACCAATGGTGGTCTACCCTCAGGATCACAGCAAAGAGTGTATGAGAGGTGCCTATCTCACCCAGTATCTCTAGCACTGAGCACAATGACTAGCATACAATAGGTGCTTAATGCTTGTCAGGTAGGGTGGGAGCAGCCAGTGAGGGAGACTATGAGAAAAAGCAGATGTGCTAGAATCAAAGCAGGAAGCAAGAGAAAGCGTTTTTCTTTTTCTCCAGATTTAGAAATCCTAGAGGCTACAGAATACAACACCCTTTGTGGCCTATGCCCACAATGTCATTTCTACATTTTTCTCTGGCAAACTAGAGATATGCTTAATACCCATAGAACGCTTCATTTTCACCCTGAGGTAATAAGTCAAAGGTCGGTGTGGCTTGGGCTAATGAGCTGTGCTGCCTTGAGTCTATGGTCTATGCCCTTATTCAGTTCTGTGAGGGGTCAAAGATGACTTCAGGCTTTGCCTTCAAGGTCTTATCATCTGATACAGGAGAGAAGACACAGACACAAACAACTAAAATATAGAGAAAATGTGAAATTACTGTAAGATTAAAAACAACACTACAAGCCCGGCCAGGCGTGGCTCAGTGGCTGAGCGTCAACCTAGAATCCAGGAGATCGCGGTTTGATTCCTGGTCAGGGCACATGCTCGGGTTGCGGGCTCAATCCCCAGTGGGGGGGTGGGGTGCAGGAGGCAGCCCATCAATGACTCTCTCATCATTGATGTTTCTCTCTCTCTCTCTCTCTCTCTCTCTCGCTTCCTCTCTCTGAAATCAATAGTGTGTGTATATATATATATATACATATATATATATACACACACACACACACATATATGTATATGTGTGTATATATATATATATATATA